CATTTGGCTTTCATTTATTTTTTCACTCATTTATTTCAACTATCTTTCCATCCATTCGTCCAGCCATTCCTTAAGTCATTCATTAACTCGTGATTTTCCTTTGTTGAATAATAAATAATTACTTGCGTATACCACTATTGCTACTACTACTACTACTACTACTACTACTACTACTACAACAACTACTACTACTTCTACTGCTACTACTAAAAATTCTACTACTACTACTGCTCCTGCTACTACTACTACTACAGACACCACTACTACTACAGACACCACTACTACTACAGCCACCACTACTACTACAGCCACCACTACTACTACAGACACCACTACTACTACAGCCACCACTACTACTACTACCACTACTACTACAGACACCACCACTACTACTACCACTACTACTACAGATACCACCACTACTACTACCACTACTACTACCACTACTACTACTACTACTACCACTGAGAAAACGCACTCATTAAAAGGACCATCGAGATAATCTTCAATTTAAAATTTACCGTTTTGAAAAAAAAAAGAATTTTTCGAAAGAGAATAAATAGATAAATAATTTAAATGTGAATCATTTAAAAGTTAATTTCCATTCTCATACGGATTTTTTAAATTAGTATGAGTAACTACATTTTATTCAATAAAAAGACATTTCTAGTTTTAAATTGGTATAATTTTTGTCGAAGATTTGATGCTAAAAGATTTGTCCAGAAAAGTTATAACATCTCTACAAACATACTTTTACAACTGATATTACAACAACAACAACAACAACTACTACTACTACTACTACTACTACTACTACAGCTACTTCTACTACAGCTACTTCTACTACAGCTACTTCTACTACTACTACTACTGCTACTTCTACTACTACAGCTACTACTACTACTACAACACTGCAACCACAACTACAATACAGCTACTTCTACTACTACTACTACTACTGCTACTACACTGTAACTGCCGCTGCTGCTTCTACTACTACTACTACTTCTTGCAATAGGCATTATTATAACAAATGAAGTCATTATGACTTGGATTAGGAGATGCGTTTTTCAAAATTTCAACGGCCTAACCCTTATTATTATTATTATATTATTATTACATTATTATTATTATTATTATAACTTTTATTTGAAGAGGTAAACCATCATCTTATCGTTTTGATCTTAGACTAGCATCATGTTACACATGTGCTTCATAATCTAATAACGTAAATATATCCCAGCTATTCTATATCAGCTGACTTCAGAGTTGAATGTAGCGGGCCTTTAGCGAAAACTACAAATTTTAAGAAACTTTATTCCCCCACAGCTAAATTTTTTGTTGAACTTCGCAGCTACAGCTTCTCGTTGATTTGGATAGCAGAAAACCCGAAAAATCTAATTGTTGAAGCTGTCCAAAATTGTCTAGATATGCCAATTAGTGGCTTCGTAGCAGAACTTCGCTGCCAGTAGAGATGGCAGGCCATTACGTTTTGTGGTAATAAGATTCCAGAGAAAGAGAGAGATCTTAAAACTGAACAACTATTTCAAAACTAGTCAGATCACAAAAATTCAATGCTTATACGAAGAATCTATTACATCAAAATTGATAAACCCTCTCAAACTCTGGTTTCTTAGAATTATTGTTCAAACAATTAGAAAAAGAAAGAGTTGAATCGTCTTTCAACCATGGCATTTTGTTCGCTGGAAAGTCGGGGCACAATTATCACCATGGTAAAAACCATCATCCAAACTAACAACAACATCTCTCACCGGTCAAAAACTACGGAGAATGAAAGAAAAATAATTAATGAATATAATCTGGAGTTAACGATTATGATGATGGTGGTGGTGGTGATGTTGATGATGATTATGGTGATGATGATTATGACGTTAATGAACGTGACATTTTCTTTTAAAATGGCCACACGATGATTATGACGATGATGATGATGAAGACGAAGATGATGATGACGACTATGAAGATGACGATGATGATGAAGATGATGATGACGACTATGAAGATGACGATGATGATGAAGATGATGATGACGACGACGATGATGATGACGATGTTGATGTTGATGATGATGGTGTTTTTAATGGCAAAGATGATGATGATGATGATGGCGATATATTGCAAGCAATATCAATAATAACATCCAAAACAACAAAAACGACAATATCAAAGACACTATATATGCTATTTTCAAAAGGTAATTAATTTTTGTAGCGCAGTAGTTATAACGACTGCAATATTGCAAAGATAAATAATGCACCGGAATCATTGTTTTTTAGTATCTTTGAGTCTGGCGGAAACTGTTCTACGAGACATGCGCAATCTTAATTATTCAATTCTTTTGGTAATATCCATTTCCTTTTTGGTCTACGTCACGCACACGCACACACACACACACACACACACACACACACACACAACGTCACACACATGCACACACAAACACACATACGCACAAACGCACACATATACGTACACACACATATATATATATATAATATAATCTGGCTCTTTCATCATTGAATGCGTGGTGGGAGATTATCTCCGTACAACATAAATATAATATTTTTGAAAAAATTATTACTATAATAATTATTTTAATAATAATAATTATTGTTATTATTATTATTATTATTAGTAGTAGTAGTACTAGCTGGTGGTAGTAGTAGTAATATCAGTAGAATGAATGATGGATTGAATGAATGAATGAATGAATGAGTAGATGAATGATTAAATGAAGGAATCGAACTGAGCACATAAATGGATGAATTTTTTAATTAATTAATAAAAAAAATGAACGAATGATTGACTGATTGACAAACTGTAAGTATACATGCAAGAATGAATGAACGAATGAACGATTGAATGAAAGAACGAACGAATAAACGAATAAATAAACAAACAAATGAATAAATAAATAAATTAACAACAAAAAGAAATGGAAAGAAATGAAAAAATTAAAGAATGAAATTGAAAAAATGACTGGCAAAAATAGCGACGACTTGTAATGCATTTGCTTAATTAGTTTAAATAATTAAACTCGGCAGGGTATAATTTGAAATGAATGAGCGAATGAATGAATAAACGAATGTATGAATGAAAGAATGAATGCATGCATGAGTGAATGAACGAACGAACGAATGAATAAATGGATGAATGAACGAATGAGTAAAAGAATGAATAAATGAATGAATTAGTGAATGAGTGAGTGATGAAAATGATGATGAAGATACAAACGAGGGAGAAGATTCGCGAATGAAAATGGTTTACACTGGTGATAATGAGAAGAAAGAGACTTATATGGTTATGTTATGAAGATGATGATGATGTTTATTATTATTATTATTATTATTATTATTACAAATATGCTGTTTCGTCTCGTTTCGTTTCGTTTCGTTTCATTTTGTTTGTTCGTTTCTTCAAGTGAAGCTGACTACACTTCTAAGGACAGATATTATTAGTGTGTACGTACGTGCGTCTATAAATGTATGTGTTTGAATTTATGTATGTATGTATGTGTGTGTAGTGTATGTATATATGTGTGTGTGTATGTATGTTTGTATGTATGTATGAGTGTGTGTATGTGTGTTTGTATGTATGTATATGTATGTATGTTTGTATGTATGTATGTGTGTTTGTATGTATGTATGTGTTTGTGTGTATGTGTGTTTGTATGTATGTATATGTGTGTGTATGTAGTTGCATTTTCCCACAAGCTAACTTGTATTTTTTAGAATTGACAAAAATAAAGTTGCCAGAAAATTCAAATTTATTCCCGCCAAGTCAATTCGTCACGGAAGATAAAATGTCAAAATTTGAAATAAAAAAGTCTTATTTCCGGAAATATAAAAATTATAAATGAAAAAAGATTTTATGTTCTTATTAAAAAGTGAATTTAAATGATTTAAAAGTCTTTCATCCCATTCAATGAAGCGAGCGTGAGTTACTTTATTTTTGTTTGCCGAATGAATGAATGAGTGCATGAATGAATGAATAAAATTAAAAAAATCTCGATAAGTTTTAATCAAGCTGATATAAAAGTGAATTGTTTGCACAAAATTTTTTTTATACAAAATTTTAAAGTTGGAAAAATATAAATTATAATTTTTGTCTTCCAGTACATTAGAGAGGAAGATTTCGTTTTTATATGTATGTATGTTTGTATGTATGTATGTATGTATGTATGTATGTATGTATGTATGTATGTATGTATGTATGTATGTATGTATGTATGTATGTATGTATGTATGTATGTATGTATGTATGTATGTTTGTATGTATGTATGTATGTATACAAATTCATTATAGCATCTTTGAGAATGTATAAGCAAAACTGCACGCTTCGCATCTACACATACACAATTGCTATGCTCGGCTATTGATATTGGATTTGGTCCGTAGGCGTACAACTATGATACAATTTTATACATACGTACATACAAACGTACAAGCACACACATACTAATACAAACAATTATATTTAGATACAAACATATATACAGAAATATACAATCATAATTACAAAGAATGTGTTGGTATGTACAAGGGTACAAATATATATTAAAGTGTGTGTGTGTGTGTGTATGTGTGTGTGTGTGTGTGTGTGTGTGTGTATGTTTGTTTGCATGAACGTATGTTTTATTGGTTTATTTGTTTGTTTGTATGTGTGTGTTTAAACATTTTATGAATATGGAAAAAAAAACACATTTGTATACCTTTAATGTGTTTTGCAGTTTATGTAGCTTGTTTGAGTGCCGTGTTTAAATTATGACTACTCGTTTTTACTACACAGTTCATCAAAAATTCAGAATACATTATATTTATGATCTTTGTATGTTTGTCTGTTGGTTTGTAGGTATGTGTGTGTGTATGTGTGTGTATGTATGTGTATGTTCGTTTAAGAATTTGTTTGCTTTTTTTGTTTGCTCTTTCACTCTTTCATTAATTCACTCGTTCGTTCGTTCGTTCGTTCGTTCGTTCATTCATTCTCCCATATAGTCATTTTTTCATTCATTCATATATTCATCCATTCATCTTTCCATTAATTCATAAGCATACGTACCTCGACACGAATCAAACTCATTGAAACCAATCAATCCATCGACCTAAAATACTATTAATAATACTGCTGCTGCTACTACTACTACTACTACTACTACTACTACTACTACTACTACTACTACTACTACTACTACTACTACTACTACTACTACTACTACTACTACTCCAGCTACTACTACGACAACAACTACCACTACCTTCACTTTGAATACCATAAATAATAATAATAATAGCAATAAAACTGGGAATAATTATAATTTAGACTGATTGAATTTGCAATATACATATATAATAATTTAAAATTCATTTAAATAATAATAAAAAATGTGATTAATTTTTTTAAATTTACAAAAAAAACAACCAGAGAATTAAATAAACGCTAGAAAACACACGTCTATGCAATAAATTCTGATACTAAGTTATTTTTCAAACCATGGCTTGAAATAATACCTCAGCTGCTCTTTCTAATACTTCTACTACTACTACTTCAACTACAACTTCTGCTGCTACGGTTTTTGCTTCTATAGCTGCTGCTACTATTACTATTACTGCTAGTGTTATTTCTGCGGCTGATGCTGCGAATATTGCTGTAGTCTATGCTACTGCAGTAGCTACCACAATCGCTACAAATTATTTTTGTAACTTTGCTGTCAAAAGTATTAATATTTTCGATAATACATTATTAATATTATTATTTTGTTATAATAATATTAATAACATTAAATATTTTCATTATTATTTTTAATTATTGTTAATGTTGTTATTATTTTCAACAAAAATTCTTCTAAATAATAATTAGAAATACCAACTACAACAACGACAACGTATACCGCCATGTGATAGGATTGGCGGAAATCTTTTTGGGGAACTTCGAGGTTCTTAACCATTACACAATCTTGCCACACACACCACACACACACACACACACACACACACACACACACACACACACACACACACACACACACGCACAACCACACACACACACACACATCTGCTGTAAATATACTGATGTAATATGGATTTTTATGTCTAAGAAATTTTTCCTATGAGAGTTAATGCACGTGATATCGATATATGTATGTATGTATGTATGTATGTATGTATGTATGTATGTATGTATGTATGTATGTATGTATGTATGTATGTATGTATGTTTGTATGTATGCATGTATGTATGTATGTATGTTTGCATGTATATATGAATGCATACATGTATGACATATACGCAAAAACCATCATCATTTTCAGTAAGTTAGCTCTATAAGGTATTATTAAAGTAAATTGAGAATGTTTGTATATATATACAAACATACAATACAGACAGATTATCGCCCACTTACATAAAAACAAACATGCATACTGACATACATACAAGCATACATACACACCTAAATACATACAAACATACATACCAACAAGTATACAAACATACATGTATACAAACATACAAAACACACCCACATATATATACATACATATATACAAACAAACATACAAACATACATACATACAAATATACATACAAACAAACATATATACACACATGCAAACATACAAACATTAATTGAGGGTACTTAAGTGTTGTTAAGACGTGTCAAAGAAAGGAAATAAGAATGTGGTGATGAAATTGTGGCGGTGAAGAAGACGACGACGACGATGATGTTACTGGTTCCGATGATGATAAAGAATGAATATTCACACACACACAAACACACACACACACACAAACACACAAACACACACACACAGCTACATTACTGACTGATGACTTTACTGTGTTAAATTGATGAACGCTTTTGAGCTGCGGTTTACTGATGTGAATAATTGAATTCTTTCCCCTCTTTTCTTCTATTTGTGTTTTTGTTTGCTTACATTTTTGTCCGCTCTATAAACACCATTAAATGCCATCAAAGGCGTTTCTTTTTATAAAAAGAAACATACATATATATATGTATATATTATACATATATATATATTATACATATATATATTATATATATATATATGTGTGTGTGTGTGTGTATGTATGTATGCATGTATACAAGTTTTAAGTTCTGCGCGCGTGTTTTGTTTCTTTTAAAAGAGAGAGAAAGATAGAAAGAGGGAAAAAAAGAAGAAGAAAGGGAGAGAGAGAGAAAGAGATAGAGAGAGACAGCGAGAAAAGAAGAGAGAGGGAGAGAGAGGTAGAATATCCTCCAATGCGCAATTTTTTAAGAAAAACTTGGCCAGTATTTGACGGCATGTTTAGGCTCTGGGATTAAGTTACCGAAATCATTAATTATGCTTTATGGCAGATCATAATATAATACAACAATAATATAATAAATAATAATAATAAAATATAATATAATAATAATATTATGAATAATTCACAATTTGTTTATTTATTTATTATAAATCATTCACAATTTACAAATTGTTTATTTATCAAACAAGTAAAGATTTGACCTGGAGACCTGGAGATACAAAACATAATAACAACCATATTATTATTTTTGTTAATGATGTTTGAATGTATGTATGGATAAATTTATAGTAAATCTATTTTTCTGTGTGTACATTTATGCTTATAAATTTGTATATTTCACTCTGTATTTGTTTGTATGTTGTATGTTTGTATGTATGTATGTATGTTTTATGTATGTATGTATGTATGTATATATGCATGTATGAGTTTATTCATGCGAGAGATGGTTTGCAAACAAAAATAGACAAAGAAAGAAAAGTCTGAAATTTTTTCATAGCAACAAGTCACCAAAAAAAAAATTCGAAAAGTGAATTCAATTATTCAAGTATAAATTTACATTGTATGTTTGTTTATTTTTTTAATCATTCAATCATTCATTCAATAATTCATTCAATCATTTATTCAATCATTCATCTGTTTCGTCAATCCATTCTGGCTCTTATTTATTGGCTTCGTAATTCCTTCGTCGACTTATCTCTATTTGCTTTTCAGTGTCCTCTCACAAAACAGAATGCAAGCAACAAGAACGGAAAGAAATAAGATTGAAAAATCAGGAAAAGAAAGATAAGAAAAAAATAATGAAAGAAAGAGAAAAGAAAGAGAGAGAAAAAAAGAGAGAGAGAGGGGAAAAGAGAAAGTGAAAGAGATAAATGGAACATAGAACAAGAACGGAAAAGTGGGAGTATTAGAGAGAAAGATAGAGAATGAGATCAGAGAGGAATGAAGGAAAGTCAAAAATGAAATGAGAAAATTTGAAAAAGAGAGAAGGGGAGGAAAAAGAAAGAAAGAGAAGAAGAGAGAGAGAGGGTGAGAGAGAACAAAAAAGTGCATTAA